ATGTTTTGGAAGGAGTTTAGCAGTTTTGTTAACAAATTCATGTTTCTTACCGCCTAAATGTTTTCTTTATAACTGTAATTTGATAATGAAACATCATATTGTCTTCATTTTTATAAAAAATGTGAAACATAACAGCACAAAAGTTCATATGTGAAAACTTTAAAACATATTTACATAATTAACAGCCATTTCTGTTTGTATAAGTGAGGAATTAATCTGTGTATTTCATTAGTTCTTATGTAAATAAACCCTTTCAGTCATTCAAAATGTAGCTTTCATCAAAATCAAGCACTGCTGAGGATCTCCATTTAACATTAAATATTTTGCTTTTATTTTACGTTTCCTTTGGCAATTTAAACATGTTAAACATGTTTAAACATGTTTGTTTTTGGACTACAGTGCTACAATGGAAAGAACTGCAAATGCAAATAATTTTCCGAACAATCAAAATATTCAGCGTCACTGTGCTAGCGTAACTTTTACAAACTTGGTATCATAACTTCCGTAAGTCCTACGTTCAGCCAATCATCTAGTGTGACGTCGCGCAGGACCCCGGGCTGATGTGGCAGCCCGAGCAGATCCAGTAATACACCGTTTGACAAGAGTGTACTTTTATTTTGAAAGGTACTGGCTTTCTCATAAAACAAATATTTTGTCAATAAGGATTTGAAATCATGTATCTGGGTAAAGATTTGGTGCATTTTTTTAATTTTCAGCATCTTTCACACCTGCTAAGCTAATTAGACAGGCACATCTGAGGGCAGCAAAGTGCTGCCCTTGAACCCCAGAACCCTTTAATTGCAACAAAATGGTCAAACATTTGTTGCCTGTGTTTCCATAGTAGACTAAAACAAAAGGGAACTGAGCAAATAAAAATCAACAACTTCTTGTGATGAACAAACTGCAGACATTAAACATAAAAAAGTAGGTAGAAATTATTAATACAGTGAAATTATGTAATAATATTTGTTATGATATGATGATGTTATATTTAAAAGCAGTGCATTAATTTTTTTTATTGAAATTTACATGTAAACCTTTATTGCTCATGCAATGCAAACTCCGACTGCTAGGTGGCAGCGGTTTTTACCTTCATTCTGATGTATCTGGATGTATCCCGGAAGCGTTTTCCAGTAAAATTCATTTTAAAAATTGCAAATATTGTCTGGCTATTATTAGTTGCATTTCCACAATTGGAGTAATGGGACAATTTTGGGAGGGGGAAAGGTGACGGGGAAAGTATGCTGTCTCGGTCCTCTCAGCCGTCTCTTGGCAAAATCCTCTCTTTCATGACTTAGCTACGGCGTTAGCACATCACCAAGTTTCTGCAATGAGTGACGTCATTGATCAGCACCAAAAGGCATTCTACTACTCTACTAGGAGGGGCTGTCACATATATTACGTTGAGTCTCATTTTTACGTGACTCAAGGTGGTACAGCTTCTTAAACGGACATGAACGTTACCAACCTACACACATCGTTTCATTTTTGTAGTATCAAATTTATTGACATGGGAAAAATTATCACGATAAGAGTCAGAAATTTCGATAATGGTAAATTTTCTATTTATTGCCCAGCCCTAAATAATACTAAAAAATATGTTTTGTCATTTTAGGTATGCCATATTTCAAGGGATGAGAAAGTGGTTGTTTTACGTAAAATGTCTGTTAAATGATGCCGGTTTACAGCGCTCTATAGGAGAACACAAAACAATGTCCATTACAGTGATGTGGAAAGATTTCTGACTAATTTTTCGACATTCGAAGTTTAGATAAGATGACTTTGAAACAGCGTCAACGTTATTTTCTTTTCCTTCCATTCTGCTTCACCAGCAACTCTATTAACTTTATAAATGCCAGTCTTTTGATGACAACCAATCAGCATGAGTTAACTGCAGTTCCCACCCAACAACTTTACAGGGCCATCTCCAAGTACTCGGGCCACGAAGTTCCGGTAAAATTACCCTGAAGTTCCGAGAGTGGAAACGGGCCAACCATCACAGTTATTGCCTCCCCCGTATTGCGATATACATATTTCATATAGCCATATTTTCATCAATACACACCCCATTTAAAAAGGAACAAATTTAACCATATTCAGGAGCACTTAGCAAAGAAATTAAGCTATTTTTAAAAATGTTTCTACAAAACCTGCATAGGCTGGAATAGAGGCGGTAGCCACAAACAGAAAAGGTGGCAAACCAGAAATCAAAGCTTGCAAGAAGGAAGAACTAAAAACCTCACGTCTATTCACAGCTTTATTTTTCCATTAAGACATGCTTTTCTATTAATAGTGTTGCTTAAGTTCCTGTTTTAGTAGGAAATCGATTAATCATGATCAGTCTGAAGTAATATGTTCCCAGTGTCAGAAGTTTTCTGGAAACCCTATCCATCCATCCATCCATCCATCCATCCATTTTCATCCGCTTATCCGGAGTCGGGTCACGGGGGCAGTAGCCTAAGGCGAGAGGCCCAGACTTCCCCTGCCATTTGGGCCAGCTCCTCCAGGAGAATCCCAAGGCATTCCCTGGCCAGGTGAGAGACATAGTCCCTCCACCGTGTCCTGGGTCTACCTTTAGGCCTCCTCCCGGTTGGACGTGCCCGGAAAACCTCACCAGGGAGGCGTCAAGGAGGCATCCTGACCAGATGCCCGAGCCACCTCAACTGGCTCCTCTCGATGTGGATGCCCCTCCCGATGACCGAGCTTCTCACCCTATCTCTAAGGGAGAGCCCAGCCACTCTTTGGAGAAAACTCATTTTGGCCGCTTGTATCTGCGATCTCGTTCTTTCGGTCACTACCCAAAGCTCGTGACCATAGGTGAAGGTAGGAACGTAGATCGAGCGGTAAATCGAGAGCTTCGCCTTCTGACTCAGCTCTCTCTTCACCATGACAGAACGATACAACGCCCGCATCACTGCAGATGCAGCACCAATCCGCCTATCGATCTCACGCTCCATCTTTCCCTCACTCGTGAACAAGACCCCGAGATACTTAAACTCCTCCACTTGGGGCAGGACCTCATCCCTGACCCGAAGAAGGAATTCTACCCTTTTCCGAATCAAGACCATGGAAACCCTATTTTTATTTTTTTATAACTTACTGTAAACATGAAGAAAATGTAGATTACCAAATTACCAAAGCAAAACGTCCTTAAAATTCCACATAAATTCAACAACCAACCATATATGAATAATAAAATCCCTCTAAAGTGATTTCTTTCCTGGAGAACAATTATAGGATGAAAATGTGTTTTAATTCCTTTTAGAAAGCCCAAGAGAGTCATCTCTAGTCGAATAAATAAAAACAGATGCTGGATATAATTTATTTTTTCCTTTCAAGTGTCAAATTACAGTTTTATTGTGCAGCGCTGGAAGTATTTAGATCAAACTTTGTATCAGCACATTTAGACAACTCAAGCAAAGAGCAGCGGAAAAGCAAAACCTTGGAAATAAAAATTCTCATTTAACTTTTATTTCTGAGCTTCCTAAAGGTTTTCTCTGTGATCTCCTGGGATAACACAAAGTTAGAGTATTTTCCTAGAAACGGAGCACAAATAGACCCCAATTGAAGTCCATCGGTTTCCAATTACAGCAGATCCAGATGATTATTCTCACATTTCTCTGATGACAGCGAGCGCCTGTCAAACAGCATGCAGCAAGGTTTTCTTTGATGCTACATCACCAGCTACTCCAGCTGTGATAAAAGGGAACTGAACCCAGATGTGGTTGCAGCAGATACTTGGGATCATTAAACATATGTTTCCAAATACTGATGTGAAATCTCCAGATATTTTTTCTTTCCTTTTATTACTAATTTGCGCATTTTCAGGTTTTTTTTTAATTGCACTTTGGGGGAAAAAAATGCTGTTTATCCTCTTGGTGCAGCTTTCTTCTTCTAATTATGGATTAAGTGTGTTTAGCTTGTCAGCATGAAGTCATATGGATGTTTTCATGTTGAGCAACGCTGATAAACCACAGAATTCCTCTTTTGATTCAGAGTCTTGATCTACATTAAGCTTTTTTTTTATGCCTGAAACTTCCTCTGTCCAGTTCCACTTCTCTCCAGTTAAACATTTATCTCGCCAAGTGAATCTTCTACCATGTCCCGGTTCTAGACTCGTCCTCCACATGTAGACGAGTGGAGCTGCTGATCACAGGTTCCACCAGATGATGTAAACCTATAATCACAGCTTCTACTCTGGTTGTTGCGTCTGACGGCGCTTATATCTGATGTAAGTCACAGTAAACCTGCACTGAGCTATCTTCATCATGGAGCTGCTGCTGCTGCAATGATGTTACAGATGCAGTTTGAAACAACTCTGCTCTGTTTCCTTGTTTACAGTCTGTGTCAGCCTCCCCCAGGCCTCCTGTAAACTGGCTGACTTATCCACCTTGTCTGGTTTGACTCAACGGTTGTGGTCGGTGACTAAGGACTCATCTGGCTCCTCCGTGCATCCTGCGTCCAGCCAGACCTCAAACTCATTCTCTTGTAAATGTTAATTATCCCATATTCCCCCTTTCTTTCCTTTTTTGCCAGCAAACTGACCATCTGGTGTGTGAATCAATTCCCTCTGAAGTCTGGCTCTTACATTTTAGAGGTTCACTTCACATCTGCACCCAAAACAAACACATTTGTGTCACCTTCTGCTGTGCAGAACAACTTCTAGAGAGGGTGGGGTTACACAGAAATCAATGCACACTCTTGGTGCACAAATATTTGCAACATTGCACAAGAGTTGAAGAGGAAAACTAAACAGAAATTTAGTGTTTCCAGAGGCTCAGCTTGTTGTGAGGTTACCAGCTTCCTGGATTAATGTAGGCAGAGTCACAGATGAAACCCATTAACTCCCACTTTAACTTCTTTGTGCCACAATCCCCTCCTCTTCCCCCAAGAACAAAGCAACCGACATTACAAATACTAAAAGCTGCAGTGTCATGATGAGAAACCAAATGTAAACATCATCAGCTGTTTAAGTTAATATGTGATAAAAAATTACTTACCTCAGCTTGTAGTACATTAGCGGTGACAGAAGTAAAAGCAGAGCAGAATAGACAGCAGGTCAGTGAGAGCAGCTGCGGCAGCATTCTGGTTCCCCTCCGCAAAAATGTTCACAAAACTATGTCTGTGTGCGCCAAATCCGCGATTACAGGCAAAATATCAAAGTTAAAGCACGCAGATTTGTATGATGCGGCTTTTAAACGTGTAAGAAAAGGTTTTCGTTCTTGCGTGGAAAGTTTTTTGAGCAAAATAATCAAGTTGTTTTCTCCGCAGGACTCCGCCGCAGTCAGAGAGCGGAACTGATGAGCAAAACAGCGCTAAAAACCAGCAAAACCGAATAGATAAACTAAAACTTCATAGTTTTGTTTCCCTTCCCTCCCTCAGATTGTCTGCAGACCGTGTGGACGTGGTCCGCACTGAAGGAGGCGCACACAGATGGGATTTCCTCTAGGGTCCTCCTCCAGATGTGCGCAAACTGGCTGCGTAAAAAAAGTTTAGAGTTTTCAAGGAAACTTTTTATTAAATGTCTTGAAAAGACTGAAAGATAAACGTGTGGCTAAGTTTTGAGTTGTTTATCAAAACTTGTTATTTTTTCAGGGGCGTAAAAAAGAATCCCCCCCCCCCCCTCCCTCACACACACACACACAATTTAGAATAGAATAGAATATCCTTTATTGTCACTGTGCACACTCGTACAACGAAATTTGGAAGCCACTCCCGGGTGCAAGTTGAAAGAAATACATAAAACTTAACAATTAAAATTCAATCAGGACAAATACTTCCCTAAAAGAAATACACAACACTACAATAATTAAAATTCAGCCTGGACAAATCCTTCCTTCATAAATTGTATAAAATTAGAACCATGCAGCTTGTGTGGTTCCATCAGGGCTACACCTGCAAACATTATCTGCTCACGTTCGGGTGTTTAATGACATTTTTCTGGCTTTAGATTCAGGTTTCCATGTGGTTCTGGTACTTTTGGATCTATCTGCAGCATTCGACACGATCGATCATGACATTTTGATCACAAGACTTCACACTTGGGCTGGCATTTCAGGCACTGCCCTGGATTGGTTTAGGTCATACTTTTGTAACAGGTCTGCTAGGGTCATGTTGGACGGCTGTTCATCAGAGTAACAGCCTCTACGTTGGGGTGTCCCACAAGGTTCAATTCTCGGCCCGTTACTGTTCAACCTCTATATACTGCCCTTAGGAGCCATTTTCAGAAAGCACACTGTCTCATACCATCTTTACGCTGACACTGTCAAATCTACTTTTCATTTAAGCCAACTCAGTCAACGAAAGTTCTGTCTGATTGTATCCTTGAGGTCAAGCAATGGCTAGCTCACAACTTCCTCCATCTCAATGACTCCAAAACTGACTTAATCGTTTTCAGTCCTAACAGTATCACGGCAACTCAACAACCTGACCTCAACCATCTCTCACCTAATGTATCCTCTGTAATCTCCAACCTTGGAGTAAAAATGGACCAGGCTCTGAAGATGGATGCCCAGGTCAATAACACAGTTAAATCATGTTTTTACCAACTAAGACGCATCTCGAAACTAAAGCACATCCTGAGTGTCCGTCTTCTGAAATCGGTGGTCCACACTTTTATCACTTCAAGGCTGGATTACTCTAACTCCTGCTTATATGGCATCAGTAAAGCAGCTCTCTCTAGACTTCAGCTGGTCCAGAATTCAGCAGCTAGGTTGCTGACTGGAGCTGACAGAAGACAACACATTTCTCCAATTCTGAAATCTCTCCACTGGTTGCCCGTGCAGTTCAGGATAAACTTCAAAATTATGCTTCTCACTTACAAATCCTTGAACCATCAAGCTCCTCCATATCTGTGTGAACTGGTCCATTACTACAACCCGCCGCGTGCTCTCAGGTCTGAAGATAAGCTCCTCCTAGCTGTTCCCAATGCACGTTTAAAAAGCCGTGGAGAGAGGGCTTTCTCTGTCTGTGCAACGAAGCTGTGGAACGCATTACCACTGCTAGTGAGGCTAGCACCAACAGCTAGCATTTTTAAATCACGCCTGAAAACTCACTACTTCAACCTAGCTTATACAACATAATTATGAACCTCACTGACATCTGCACTGTTTATAAACTGACTCCACAATTATCGACTTCCGTATTATTGAGGTTCTTTGTAAAATGTTTTTTTTTTTCCTATTTTTACTTCACCCTGTGTCTTATTGATTTTTAGCTGTTATTTTTGGGAATTTTGTTGTATTTCCTTTTTATCTTTTATCTGTGTTCGACATGTTTATATAATGCCTGTTTAATTATCCAACATTTTTAGTGTACAGCACCTTGTCTGGTTGTAATGCCTTGTGAATGTGCTTTATAAATAAAATTGGAATTGGAATTGGAATTATATAAGATAAGGACATGTGCTTTCAAATTAGCACGTTCTTTTTGTTGTTAACCGCCATGATAGCCCTGGGAAAAAAACTGTCTCTGAAGCGGTTTGTCCTGGTCCTCTGGGATCTGTACTGACGACCAGATGGCAACAGCTGAAACAAGTGGTTCCCAGGATGGAACTTGTCCTCAATGATGTTGGAAGCCCTGCTGAGATAACGGGGGTATGCTAAGTCCTCCAGGCTGGGCAGCGAGCAGCCAATGATCCTCTGGGCGGAATGTATAACCCTCTGAAGCACTCTCCTGTCTGCAGCAGTGCACCCTGCATACCAAATAGTTATCCCGTATGCTAGGATGCTCTCAGTAGTGGCTCTGTAGAATGTCACCAGCAGTCTCTCCTCCAGGTTGTTCCTCCTGAGCACCCTCAGAAAGTGGAGACGCTGCTGAGCCTTTTTTGATACTGCTGTGGTGTTAGCAGACCAGGAGAGGTCATCAGAGACCACGACACCCAGAAATCTCATGGAGTGAACTCTTTCCACACAGTCCACCTGGATGTAGAGAGGGTCTGGATCAGCTTTGTTCCTTCTGAAATCCAAGATGAGTCATTTGGGTTTTTTGGTGTTCAAAAGGAGGTTATTTTCTGAACACCAGGCAGTCAGTCTGTTGACTTCATCTCTGTAGTTTGACTCATCCCCTCCAGAGATGAGCCCAACCACGGTGGTGTCGTCCGCAAACTTTATGAAGGTGTTGGAGAGATGGATCGGAACACAGTCCCATGTATAAAGTGTGAACAGGAGAGGACTCAGTACACATCCCTGAGGAGAACCAGTACTGAGGGTGATGTTGCTGGACTGACGAGGGCCAAGTCTGACAGACTGCGGTCTGTTTGTGAGAAAATCCTTGATCCAGCGGCAGATAAAGTTGGAAAATCCCAAATGAGCCAATTTCTGGACCAGGAACTCCGGAATGATGTGGTTAAATGCTGAGCTTAAGTCTAAAAGCATTCTCACATTAGCCTGACAAGCCATACTTTGCAACGCAAGAATTTGGTCTAGTTCACTAGGCTATTCTCACATAGCTTCCCTGGTGCTCCAGATGGTCCAGCGCAGTGTGAAGTGCTATGTTGATAGCATCATCTGTAGATCGATTAGCCCTGTAGGCGAACTGATGTGGATCTAGGGTAGGTGGCAAACTACCCCTGATGTGCTGGCAGACCAGTTTTTCAAAGCACTTCATCACAATTGGAGTGAGTGCGATCGGCCTGTAGTCGTTCAGAGTGTCTGCTGCTGTCTTCTTAGCAATGGGAATGATAGTGGAGGTTTTGAGGCAGGGAGGAACGATGTATAGTGACAAGGACCCTCGCCAGTTGGTCTGCACAAGCGCTGAGAACTTTCCCTTGGATTCCATCCGGGCCTGCCGCCTTCCTGGGATAAACTGACTTTAAAACGCGTCTCACTTGGTCTTCCTGCAGACTCTGCAGTGCAGAGTCAGTGTGTCGTTGTTTGGGGCGGGTGGGGGTGGTATGGCCACCGCAGGCCTGGTTGTCTCAAAACGGGCAAAAAAATGGTTTAAGTCCTCGGCCAGTAGTCTGTGGTCCTTTGATGTTTCCTGTTTCCTGCCTCTGTAATTAGTGATGTGGTTTATTCCCTGCCACATTGCCCTGGGATCGTTGTTTGCAAAGTGATCCTCAATTTTCCTCTTGTAGGCTGCCTTTTACGCTGCCTGATCACCCAGCTTAAAGGCAGTGTCCCGGCTTTTTAGAAGAGAATTCACCTTACTAGTCATCCAGGGTTTTTGGTTTGGGAACACTCTGATCCGTTTGTTTATGGTGACAGTTTCCTATAGTAAATTTACTATAGTAAATTTACAAATAAGTACACTAATACTTGTTTATATTAATAATTTCAATGAGTTGTTTTCTTTTACCTCTTAGTCAACTTTTGAGTCATTTCTTGATCCTTTTATTGGCATTTTTGTGTACAGTTGGGTTATTTAATCTACTCAACTGCTGGGTTATGAAATGTGTAACCCATTTTGGGTTGTTTGAATGAGATTTGGGTTTTTTTTTGCAACTCATGCGCTGGGTCAAAATCGAGCCACCCAACATTCATTGGTTGACCCAGCACCTGGGTTGTTGTACTTGTTTGAACCAAGCCCCCTCAATGTGGGTGAAAAATTGAAGCCAACGCGGAAGTGACAAAAATTGCAGTTCCACCCTCATCCACTAGGGGCTGGTGTCAGAAGCGAGCAAATCCTCATTGACTCCCATGTTAAAAATACCAATTTCACAGCAGAAATAAACGTGTTTACAGCCTGGTTCCAAAACATGTTTTTGGTTTAAATGATCTAGTTTGCACTCATGACAACTCTGAGGGGGGTGAATTTTTTTCTCACTCTTCTGTTTAAGTGTATTAAAAGCCTAAAATTCTGTATAATTAATGAGCATCAGACCCACGTGACTGCAGAGCTAGCTCGGGGGAAAGGCCTCAGTCTGAGCCTCGGCCTCGCCTGAAAACTGTTCGGTCATTTTCAGTCTCTCAACTTAGACCATTAGTTGTAGCGTTTGCACGTTCTTTTTTGGATATTATTTGTGCAATTGTTGGACAAAATGACTTGCTGTGGCATTAATTGCACTAATAGAGCGTCTAGGGCAGGGGTGTCAAACTCATTTTAGCTCAGGGGCCACAGTGAGGGAAATCTACTCCCAAGTGGGCCAGACCGGTAAACTAAAAACAACTTCAGATTGTTTTCTTTGTTTTAATACAATCAATATAAAACAAGGCTGGAGCCTGAGGACAGTGTATCCAAAATAGTACAAGTGCAACACCTGAAGTGTACTTGAAAATTTGAAATAAATTTGAAGATTCAGAGCTTACAGATCACATGGCTAGATCAGTTTCATGCAGCACTTAAAGTATATTCGACTCATTTTACTTTACATCTTTTAGCTTTCACCAGCACATTAATATCAGAAGTCACATCCTGAGTGGCAACCAACTTCAGGATGTGATTCAAGTTCTTGTGTGAGCCTAGAGCGCAGCTTTGGTTTATTTATACTCATTACAGAGGAAACTTGCTCACAAAGATAAGTTTATTTTAACTCTACATTGTAAAGTATGAAAATATAGTTTACACAACCATCTCGCGGGCCGGATCTGGCCCTCGGGCTGCATATTTGACACCCCTGGTCTAAGGAGTCTCCACTTGATTTTTTTCTGTAAGTAAAATTATATTTATGTATTTTAGGTCACTGCCGAGCTGAGCTTAGATTTTAACATGTGCTGTTTAACCATGAAATTTAAATGTAACAGGGTAAAACCCAATTCATTTAACATAATGCTGCACTTTAGGAAATGGGTTGAAATATAACATGTTGGTGAAGCTGGGTTCCGACTTTCGGCTTGTGGAGCTCTCGGGATACCTCTGTTTTCCACCCGGTTCTCTCCTCCCCGCAGCTCGGCGCATCTCTGTCTGATCGCGGCTTCTGTCTGCTGCGCGGGCTGCCGGCTTGTGGAGCTCTGGGATGGAAACCTTTCCACCCGGTTCTCCCCAGCTGTCAACCCGGCGTATCTCTAGTCTGACTCAGAAGCTCTGGTGTTGTGCACAGTTAACTCCGGTTGTAGCTAGGTTGCTACCTCCGTTAGCTTAGCTCCCACCTCCGCGTTAGCTTTGGGTTAGCTTCAGGTTAGCTTGTAGCTAGTTCGACCGGGTGTCGTCAGTTAATCCCAGCCTTACAGCCCCACCCTCAGCTCCACTTCTCTTCCCTTTTATGGAATTGTCTGGGCTTGACGAAACCTGTGACACGGTCAAAATGGCGGTGGTGGCCACCTCCTATTTTTATTCAAAAACGTGTTATTGGAGCATATGGAAACCCATTGTCCAATATTTATATGTTGATGAAAAGAATCCGTTTTAAAAAAAGGAGTGTTCATCCTGTTCACAAACTATCTTTGTTAGTGGGTCACGAGTCGTCATTTGACCAATCACAGTCACGGAGACAGCTAGGCAAAAACACACTGCGGTAGCCGGTATCGCTGTGCTGCTCCTACTGCTGTTTCAACATCTCACAGCGGTTGGAGCTTCAAGTTCGTAAGTCAAACAAAGTCCTCTCCAAATACTACAGTATTCTGTGAAGAACTTTTGCAGGTTTTTCTCTTTTCACTTTCAGCCTAAACTGATATTTCCCGAGGCTGGTGTTCTTTTTTGGGGGGTGAGTTGAGTTCAAGTGTTGGGTCAAAAACAAGTTTCCCAGTAATTAGACAGGTTCTTCCTAAACCCAAAGAAGATTCTGACACAGACAAGATGCTGCGGTTGTTGTTTCAGATACATTCAACCTAAATTATTTTAGGCACGTCTTCCCTACATATATTATATAAGGGATTTGAAATTAAGAAAAAAAATTTACTTGGAAAACAGTATGGAATTGTTTTCAATGAGATGTTTTTTAATAGTGGGAAAAAAAACAAATAGATCTAAAAATGTTACTGGTACTTCTACTATCATTCTGTTGTGGATAGTCAGCACAAATATTCAAAGAAATTAATTTAAATGCTGTTCAAACCCTATTTTTATGGTGCCTATCTATATTTAATAAAATCGGATAATTGTTTTAAAGAATTTTAACTAAAGTTACTCAGAGCCACTGTAGAAGGTCCAAGGAGCCTTAGTTAAAGTCCATCTTTTAAGTTGTTTTAAAACCTTAACCCTCCCACTGTCTTTATGGGCGACCCCGCGAGGAAAGTTAACCATTGAGCAGGATTGATGGTTTATCCCTTGGCAGGGGTGAGGTGGTGCTCACTCCTCACCCCTGCCACATGGACCCAAGGCATAAACCGTCAACCCTGCTCAATGGTCAACTTTCCTCGCGGGGTCACACGCATCAGGACAGTAGGAGGGATAAACATCTTTCTTTTTTTCTTAATTCAGTAGCGGTGGTGCTCGATGCCATTATTCCGTGGGAGAGGGGCAGTGCAAGCTACAGCAGCGTGTTCATGTATGATAATACCCTGCCGCTTTGACATAACAAAAATCAAGATCACGGTTTTGAGAGAGTGTGCACATGAGGTGCATGTTGGCGAGTTAAAGAAGACAAGGATAAACAAACATTGCTCATTTAAATATTGGCTTCTAGGCCAGTGTACAATCATTAGCAAACCATTATATACATGTAAAATCAAATCACTTTTATTGTCACGTCACATGTGCAGGTACAATGGTACAGTACATGCGAGTGAAATTCTTGTGTGCGAGCTTCACAGCAACAGAGTTGTGCAAAAATACAGTAATGTAAAAACAAGCAAAATATAAAAATGGCTAATCTAAGTAATAATATGTATAAGTTGTAATGTATATGCATTACTAAATGTGTATGCTAGTATATTATTTTTTATTTATTTATTTTTTTAAATATTTTGTTCTACGTGTGTGCGTGTGAGTGTGTGTATAGTGTGTATATACGTGTTTTACAAATGAATGAGTAAACAATAAGATAAGAGACATAAAATATACAGAGGCTGAAATGTGCAAAACAGTGGCATTAATGTACAGTATGGAGTGTGTAATGTTGGAGTTTCAGTAGTGAGGGTGAGGTGTCTGTGAAGTGTTCAGCAGTCTGATGGCCTGATGGAAAAAGCTGTCTCTCAGTCTGCTGGTTCTGGACCGGATGCTGCAGAACCTCCTTCCTGATGGAAGTAGTCTGAACAGTTTATGGCTGGGGTGACTTGAGTCCTTGATGATCCTCCCCGCTTTCCTCAGGCACCGCTTCCTGTAGATGTCCTGGAGGGAGGGAAGCTCACCTCCAATTATCCTTTCTGCACACCGCACTACTCTCTGGAGAGCTTTGCGGTTGTAAGCGGTGCTGTTGTCATACCAGGCGGAGATGTATCCAGTGAGGATGCTCTCAATGGCACAGCGATAGAAGGTCCTGAGGATGCGGTGGCTCATGCCAAATCTTTTCAGTCTCCTGAGAAAGAAGAGGCGCTGCTGTGCCCTCTTCACTGTATTTTCCGTGTGCACTGACCACGTAAGATCCTCAGCCAGATGAACTCCAAGGAAACGGAAGCTGCTCACCCTCTCCACAGCGTCACCATTGATGGTGATGGGGGTGTGTATTCCTCTGCACCTCCAGAAGTCCACTATCATCTCCTTTGTCTTTGTGACGTTGAGGGTGAGACGGTTGTCCTGACACCAGTGGGTCAGGGCGCTGATCTCCTCCCTGTAGGCCGTCTCATCGTCGTTGGTGATCATGAGACCCACCACCGTGGTGTCGTCCGCAAACTTCACAATGATGTTGGAGTTTCTAGTGGCCGTGCAGTCGTGGGTGTAGAGTGAGTACAGGAGAGGGCTCAATGCACACCTCTGCGGAGCACCAGTGTTCAGTGTGACGGGGGATGAGGTGGTGCTGCCCAGTCTGACCACCTGGCGTCTGTCAGACAGAAAGTTTTAACATAGAAAGGTAAACATTTCAGGTGATGACCCCTTTAAAAAGTTCACCCAAAAACTGGAGTCTACATGTGTTCAAATTTTTTCTAAAGCTCACATTTTTCATCATGTGTGTGTTTGCATGTCAGGATCAAATTCTTGTGTTTTTTTTTTACAGAGTGTACCATATCTGACGAACGCGCGTCACAGCTTAAAGAATGGTTAAGAAACCATTGCCAGCCCCTCAGTCAGGTAGAGAACTACATGCAAGACACTGCAGTCTACAGGGCTAAGTGCATTAGGGACAACAATTGGACCATCTACCAGATCTTCCAAGAATTCCCTCACCTAATGAGAAAAGGCATGGTACGTTTAGGGAAATAATAATTATCATGTGATGATGATGATGATTGTGTTTTATTAGTATGCCACATTGAATTTGTTTAAAGAAGGTTTCCTATTTTGTAGATTGCACATGACCTTCTTATCCTGCATGGGGACGCTTCATCAAAGTTGTTTGAAACTTGGCTACCCATTTATGCGGAGGAAATCCTGTACCTGTAAAGACTGGAGGGAAAGCTGATCTCGTCCCTGGATGGGTTAACACAAGGTAATATATTCTTGCTTGCCATCTTTGCAATTGTCAATATGGTTTGTGTCAATGTAAGGTTTCCCCAACGAAGCTGGTCTCCCTCACTGGGCTATTTTAGTCCAACTAGTGTTGAAAGCCTGCAACAAGACCCCTAGTCTAACTGATGGGCTCATTACTCACCTGGGCTGTGATGGACTTTCTGTAATAGCGCATGTGGCGCAGCACCACATCTGAGCCATTGTAGGGAAAACACTGTGCAGTGCTCGTCTCTTACAGATTTGTCTCCACCAATGTTCACTGGTCCTATAATTTTAATGTATACTGAACACAAATATAAACGTGACCAGGGTCCGAAATTTAACACTCGCCACTCGCCAAATGCGAGCAAATTGCTCCATTTGGCGAGTAAAATTTTGAGCTCTATCTGCCACATAGCGAGTAAATGTTTGCACCAAATTAGTTATGTTTATCAGTCATCTTCCGTGGATTTCTGATACTCCTCCCACCTGCATGCAACGAACATAAACGTACGTGAAACGTGAGCGCCACATCCAACATCATTTCCACCTATCCCATTCAATCAGTTTATCAAGTTAGCAGTTAGCGTCGTGTTAAAACTAGCTGTGAAATGTGGCGGTTTTTAACTGGAGTCAGCCAGCCTTCCAAATGAAAACTCGTCGAACTGGAAGAAAAACCACCAGGACCAGTGGCAACCAGAAGGTTTTGTGAAAAGTGGCGAACCGGAGATGGCGGAGTCGTGAGACAATGGCTGTGTCTCAATTCAGGGTCTGCATCCTTCGAAGGACCCAGCCTACTCGCCCGACGTGGGCTGGGTCCTCCGTCGGCCGAGTAGACCGGATGTTAACGGCTGTGAATTTGGACAGGCCTAGCCTTCGTGAATTCCCGCCTCTCCCTCGCCGAACGTTCCGTCGCCTAGCAACCATGGAACCGCTGAGCAGAAGGGAGAAAGAACTTCAAATGATGGAGCTGGAAGTTTTGTTGAGCTTTTTAATAATTTCCTTGGTTCCGGAGGAGTTAGAAGACATTTATCGCCCGCGAAGGCATTTTCTATTGCTCAGGCTGAGACGCAACAGTGAACAGGTAAAGTAATTTCTACTAAGTAGACTTTACCTATCGGCTATTGCTAGTTTAATGGATAATTTTAGCAACTTTTTACAGGTTGTAAACAGACTCCGTATTAAATTCAAAACCTATACTCAAATATAAACTACAACTTCAAATCTTTTATACTTACTCAACTAAAAAAGCTCCCCACCTAAAGAGTTACTCAAGTAAGAAGAAAAAAATGTGAAAATGGCTTAAATAAAATAATAATAATTAAAAAATATGGATATCATTAAATAACAAATAACTGTTAGCAGAAAGAGCACATTACATGGAACCATCAATTACCTGTAGAGGGACATCTAGTGGACAAAAATAAGAACTTGTTATATGACTTACAAAACTTAATTACAGAAAATTGATCTTTTGGCCTTCATTGCATACATTCTTCAAAAGTTAAGTTTTTAGAAATTTGAAAGAATAGCATAAAAATGCACAATATTATCACATTTGCATTGAGAATAATGTAATGTTTTATAAAAAATTGAAATTACAGCTTTGAAATGAAACTTTATTTTTTCTGTATTTCTCTTTAACCAGACTAGACCCAGATACTGCAGGATTAACCTGAGTCTCCCAGTCCTGGACCGTTTCTTCAACCAGCAAGACCCGAGACCAGACTTGCGTTTGAGCAGGGAGTCCCTTTCAGTGCTGCTGAATCTGCTGAACTAAGATCGGCGTCGTGGTTGGGGTGCCACAATTGAGACTCTGGTGTTTCTTTTCTGGTTGGCAAGTGGAGCATCTGACAGGGTGGTCTCCAGATCGTTCAGGATTCCTCGTTCGACAGCACCGCATCGTCCACAGAGTCACGGAGGAGGTTGTGGCCATTCGCCACCAGGTCATCCACCTTCCAAAAACCCCTGAAGACCTGGAGGTGATGTCCCAGGGGTTTGCAGAGCTGGCACGGCATAGAGCTTTTTTAAAGCTGCAGGTGCCATCGACGGCTGCCACATCAGGATCAAGCCTCCAAGCGGCCCTGATGGTCACTGCTACAGGAACAGGAAACTGTTCCCCTCTATCATCCTGCAGGCTGTGTATGACCATCAGGGCCGCTTCATCGACACCTACATGGGCTGGCTGGGGTCGGTGCACGACTCCAGGGTGCTCCGCCACAGCCCGCCGTACAGACAGTCTGTCTACCCTCCTCCAGGGCACTTCATCCTCGCAGATGGTGGGTACCCATGCCTGCAAAGCCCACTCATCACTCCCTACAAACGTGGGAATCAAGGTGTGGCTGCCCAGTGCTTTAACAGCCATCATTCCAAAAGCACGCTCTGTGATAGAGCGTGCTTTTGGAATGATGAAAACCAGGTTCAGAGCCATCTTCCTGCAAGCGCTGGAGGTCCACCACACCTTTGTGCCTCACGTAAGTGTACGAAATGTGTCTTTTCTCATTTCTGTGAAATATATTTCAATTAATTAATTTATGTATTACAGGTTGTTACCGCTTGCACCATCCTCCACAACATCTGCCTCAGTGCTGGAGACTTTGTGGCGGCGGAGGATGAGCCTGAGGAGGATGGTGGAGATGATGAGGGGGAGGCTGGTTTGGAGGATGTCAGCGGTGCACGCTGGCGGGACCAGCAGTGCTGTGAGGTGTCTGCCCTGGAGGAGGTTCCACTGGATCATGACTACTGTTAACAGGTAACAAATGAGTCAATTTACATTTTTTTAAATAGTCTTAACATTTCACCAATAGTATGTAGATGTTGTATTTATCTCCTATTTCTCTATTTATGTTTCAGTCTTGGTCACGTAGCAGCCGTCGACAGCCAGCCCTGCAAACCGATGGATGATGCAGTGGACAGTCAAGACGCATCTTGAAGCTCTTTCTGCAGACCACCCAGTAGGATGCTTCACTTGTCAACCAGAAAAGTGCAGCCACGGGTCTCAGCTCCAGCACTCCATCCATGACATTCATCTGTTCAGCAGATCCAGCAGCCCTGTTAGAGACTTCCTGCTTCAGAGTTGTTGAAACGGTCTTGGAAATGGACACTCAGGTTAATCCTGCACTAAATATGCATTTTTGTTATTTTTCTTTGTCAGATATTTCTCTTATTTTGTATGTTTCCCTTCATGATTTTGTGTATATATGTTCAACCATGTTCAAAGAAAATTGTTGGAAATAAAAGTGTTAAGTTTGATCCATTTCTCCATTATTTTCTCAATTACATTTTTTTGTTTAATACATTTAACAATACAGGTTATAGGAAAGAATCTTGAAGTTCATTTTAATACTGTTTCAAGACATCCTCAATATTTTTAATGTCACTGCAGCTTCCTGTTGTCAACATTTACATGAGTGATACTGGTACTTTTAAATAGTTGACCACTATTTGACCACTATTGCCTCTAAAAGCACTGTGGTGCTTTTAGAGGCAATTCAAATGCACCCACAATAGGCTAAATTTTGTTTGTTTTTTATTAAAATGATCAAAATCACACACTTAAACAATGTTTTTGGGACTGTTGGAGAGGTAATTCAGAGAAAATACTTTCGACAAGCTGAGCCTGAGCAAAGATGAGATAATAGTTTTTAATACTTTCTAAGGGTCTTAATTTGACCAAAACCGATTTATCACCTTTTAAGGCTTTTCAGACCCAGCGGATACCCTGTAATAGTAAACAATTCACATTTGTAAACAAAAATAAAATTCAAGAGTTTAATACAGAACTGATTTTATTCAGATATTTCTTTTAAATGTACATGTTTAATCTTTATTAACCATTTTTTCTAGCAAGCCTGTCAAAATTCTCCCTTCTCTCCTGCTCTGCCTCCCTCTGCAGCCTCACGTCCTCCCTGATCAGCTCCAGAAGCTGGTCATCGCTGTCCCTTCTCCTTTTTCTTCCTCCTGGCTGACCATCTTCATCCTCACTCTCCTCCCTTTCCTCCACTGCTGTACTTGGCCCTGGAGTGTCCTCACAGATAGAGGCAATTAGGACAGGCGGACTGGTTGAGGGTCTCTGTCCTAATACCTCATCCATGAGGTGAAACCAGGGCCAAGTAGCAGCAGTGGGCCTCCCACTAACCCCCTCTCCTGACCCTGGATACTTGCAATCCTAGATAAAAAAAAAAAAGTCAGTTTACACAAATAACTACAAACCTGTTTCCTTTTTAGATTTAGCATGTATACATGTTATATTTTTCCACACACATCTACATACTTTATATTTTTTCTTTAAATTATCCCTTTTTTTTTTGCCTGGATGGGGGTCACCTTCCCCTGGATGTCCATTTTCTCCAGAATAGTCCTAACATGTAAGAAAAGAAACAGGAAGAGAAAAGAGGACAACGGGTTGTTCCTTTCATGTTTTCGCAGAAACAACTAAACTCAAACGACAGTTTTTAAAAGATGAGATGTTATTGTACCTCCATGCCACAGCCTCCGAATACTTCGCTCCGGTGAACATGTTGTCCATCTCCGCCCTAAGCTTACTAAACTCCCTGGTTTTGTCTTTTGTCCCTAAAATACAAACTTCTATTAAAATCAGGGGGAAAACGTAGCGGGAGAAGTGCGACACCGAGCGGCCGAACATACAAGCCAAGACCGCAATACAAGCACTTTTACTGTAACATTTCTAACTAAAATAACGTTCATGTATCACAAAAAGTCCTTAACCTAACAGTTTTCAAGTTTAAACTGACATTTATATGCGCAATCCTCTCCGACAGCTCCCGCTTCACTGTCCGCCATTGTTTTTAAATGCCCGCAAGGCATCTTGGGAAATGTGAACCATTGAAGGATACATCGGACCCATCCTTCATGCAGGCGAAAAGAAGGCCGAATTCGTCGACCACATTTGAAGGAGTCTTCGAATTGGGACAGGCCTAGTCGCGGCGCTGTGACGTAACCGGCCGACGAAGGATGCAGACCCTGAATTGAGACATAGCCAATGGCCACGTAGCGTTGCTGCCTTTCACAGACACTTTTTCTGCTCGTGCTGCAAACAGGATAGCCGTCTTCTATCAACTGTCCCTCGGCATTCTTCAAATATCCAAAAAATGCCCATACTTCCGACTTTGTCTTCTTTGAGGGATAATAAATGTCCCGAGTGCTGCCATCACCTCTGGCCATTATTTCAGCTTTAGCTTAAAGAAAGTTTTGGTCGTAAACAACAAAATGCGCATGTGCCGCCGGCAACTTCAGCAGATGATACGGTGGCTGGTAAGGGTCACCGCGCCTACACCGCAGCCACGGTAATCCACCGAGATAATATATATATTTTTAAAACAAGACGGTTATTATTATTGTCAACTTTTTTACCGGGGTTTACTGCTACACCGGTTACCGTGACAACCCTAGCCCTGACACACTTTAAGATATTCTCATGCTGCAGCTGTGTTCTCCAGAGATCAAGGACTGTGACCCAAATGAGGCTGTAATGCTTTGGCACAAAGACGGTGTCAGAAGCAGGAGGCCAGACTTCATGGACAGAGAAAACAAGGAGTCTGACTAGATTTCAATGAAAGAGTTCATAAAAACATCTCTAAAAATAAATAAATAAATAAATAGTAAAAATGACAAAAGAGTTGTCTTTCTTAATAATTGATGTTTTAATTATTTTGTCACTCTGTTTGGAATCAACATAATATAGAATAACATGCTTTAGGTAGATCTAAATCATTTAGAATTTTGGCCGGTAAAAAATATGCTTGGCCGGTAGATTTTCTTCATCTACCAGCCAACTTGGCCGGTGAGTAAAAAATTTAATTTTGGACCCCGAACGTGACACTTGTTTTTGCTCCCATTTTTCATGAGTTGAACTCAAACATCTAAAACTTTATCTACATACACAAAACACCCATGACTCTCAAATATTGTTCTGAAATCTGTCTACATGTGTGTTAGTGGGCACTTTTCCTTTAACATTAGGAACTGAATTTGAATTACTCCAGGTTGAAATGCAATTTTCAGTTTTAGCAGCAAATTTAAATAAGCTAAACTGAACCTGAGGAGAGGGGGGTGAAAGTGAGCGTTTGGAGGGTCAATTTGCAGTAGAATAAAATGCACTTTCAAACCAAATTAATCCATTTTCAAAATACAAAACTCAATTTCAATTTAATGACAGTTCCAAACTGAACTTTGAACTTTACCCTCTCAATAGGAAATCTTTATTCAACTTTCCAGTGTCAAACTGGTAGCATTTATGTTTACCTGCCGCTCCTGCAGTGTCACACTCTTAAAACCTCCGGGCGGAACACAAACAATATCAATGCAATTTTCATTGCTACAGTAGTGAAAGACGAGCGTCATCCAGCTTGGCTGTGGTTTGATGTGCCCTGTGGAAATGTAATATTTTATTTTACTTATTGTCAGACTTACCAATAGCGTTGTGTAGTTTGTGTCCAAAGCACCGGAGGTTTGGCCATCCGTTAACTTTCAGGGCTTTAATCATGTTGGTCCCACTGTCAGTCGTCATGCAGGATAGACGATTCTCAGACAGGTTCCAGCAGTCAAGAGCGTCTCTCAGTCCTTTGGCGATAAGTTCACCGGTGTGGTCCTCGGGAAAGTATGACGTTTGGAGGGAAATACTACGTAAATCTCACACATTGTTAATAAAATGCATCGTTAAACTCATATACGGCTGCATAGTTCGACTGCTCCACATGTCGGTTGTTGCCGAAAAAAAGGACCGCTCCTCCAGTTGTCTGCCAACTTTTTTGCGTGTCTGTAGTGTACAGTTGCGGCAAGACTACTTCACTGAGATACTTTCGGCTGGGTAGTTCATACCTGGGATCCAATGTTTTCATCAAATTTATAAACCCCGTCTTCTCCACGATATATATGGGTGCCATGTCTTTTGCTAGATACAAAGCGACCGCGTCGGTGATTGTAGTCCACCGGGCCCCTTTCTTGTCATATGCGGTCCCCTGTGCGAACGATTCAGCTACAGTTAGCTGTTTTTTAGCCACTCGTTCTTGGTCACTGCGGCTTTGTTCGTCTCGGAGAGACTGGCATTTTTCGTGTTCGGCTTGATGCCTCTGTTTAAGGTGTTGAAACAAGTTAGTGGTGCTGCTGCCTTTGATTGCGACGGGTTTTAGACAAAGGTTGCAGCCTGGGGTCTCTTGTTTTATGTCTGTTGCAGCAAACCCATACCAGTTCCAAACAACCGATGATTTTATCCCTTTCTTCGGAACAAACTTCCCACTCTCACCGCCGTCACTGGTTGCCATTTGGTCGCTAGCTGTCTGTTGTTTTGTGTGTTATCGCTTGCTCGTGGGTGGGGAACCTGATGCTACGAGACCTCCGGAGGGCCAAAAAGGCGCCATTACAAAAAACTCAATTTACCTACTTTATGAATCGCCCGCAACAAAAAATTTGAATTAATTCATTTGATCGATTTTTCGCCCAGCCCTACCATTGGTGAACTCAGCCTGAGGCAGTTGCCATCCTAGCTCCCTTGCTTACAAACTTGGCCGTGGCCACAGTGCAAAAATGGTTCACCACACCTTTGAAGAATGTAACATGGCCTTCATCCACCATAAACCTGTAAGTCTTCCAGTACATCTAAAGGCAAACTTTTATCTTTTCATTAACATATACCTGTTATTCTTTGGCTCATGAATGTGCACACGCACACACACACACACACACACACACGCATATCCAGATTTGTTATTCTATACTTCCAAATATAGTCAAGTCATCTAAAAGCTTGTGTTGGTCACTTTAAAAACATCTTAGGCTTTTAAAACAAGGCTGCAGTGCCACTGAATGATCGCCTCATAACCACACCATACTGACTCAGAAGTTAACATATTTATATGTTAATACTTTTGTGTTTTGATCCATTCAGACCTTGCTGTACGGTTTTGGTCCATTAGAAGTAGAATTATAAACAATTAAAGTTTCCTTTTTGTCAGAACCGCATTAGAATCCAGATTTTTCTCTGGATTAAACTGGGGATGAATATCGGTGTCGGCCAGTCATTTTTTTACATATCGACATCGGTTCGATAAATAAAACCAGGCCGATATTAACAACCGATATTTTTTCCATCTTGTTTGCCTGTTTCAGAGGGTGAGGGGTGTGATGTGTGATTATTTAGTCATGTGAACAGTGAATGAAATCATCTCAGAACTGTAAATGTGTGTGTTGTGTGTACATGATAATGTAAATTCAGCTTAAAAATGTTCATTCAT